CTGTTGCAAATTCCCTCTGAAAACAGCAGTCAGTATCTCTTGAGGAGTATTATCTCCTCTGGTGAATAATGTTGAGGACTAGAGCTCAGCCCATTTTTAATTCTAGGCATCATCCAGATTTCTGCAACCAAATCTCATGTCCTGCAGGTCTAGTTTAAAACACAAATAATTCAAATGTGAAGTTTTAAAACGTCAAGAATTGTAATTAATTTTCAATAACTTTCATTTGTTATTTCGATGTAATATAATGGTTCATAAAAATACCCAAGGGGCAAATCTTCAGGGTGCAAAATTTTATCATTGTGTTTTCATGCCTGGTCATGATTACTAGTAGGCCATGATCCTTTGTTAAATGCTGATGGAACCAAAACGACAATTCAGAAATATAAGAGATATTAAGTATTACAACTGGGGTTTTATTTAGAATACTTCAAGGCAGATGAGTTAAACCCTCTTTTGTCTTAATTTCTGTACTTGATAAAAAAAAAAAAAAAAAAAATGGTACCCACAAGGATGCTGTAAGAACTTTGTATAAAGTATCATCAAGCATTGCTTTAAAATATCAGACTTTCTGGAAGAGAAGCAGTGTTTATCCTGGTATTCTAACCAGATTTATTGCTTTCTTTCAAAATTCCCTGTGTGATTCTAATGCATGCAGCAACATTTACATTCTGAATTTATGTGTTATGAACTGTTAAACAGATGCTGCTTCACTTCACTGCCAAAATTTGTATCAGTAGTAAAGTAAAGCTGCCTATATATTCTTACCCCATGCAATCCTATTTCACTGTGGCAGCCCTTACTGAATGCTAGCTAGTGAATTTTTATTTAAATACTATGATACCAGAGGGTCATAGAGTACAATCCTCTGCAATGAAAGGACTCATGATTGTCCATCAGTGTTTATTTGTCTCCATTACTAATACTTGAACACTTGTTCCACTACTTCATATCTCTGACAGTTTGAAACCTTCTTCTAATGTCTTGAATGTATCTCTTCAACAGTTGATACCCATTTCTTATAATACTCTTTGTCCTTTAGCTTGAGTGATTCTCATATCTCCCTTCCGCTATTCCCCTGATGTGTTTGTGGAGAGCAATAGTATCTCCCCTTTCCACCTGCACACTGCAAGATTAACCAAAACCAGTTTTTTAATCTCCTGTTTGAAAATAGTCTCTCTGGCTCCTGAACACACTAATAGCTCTTCGTGGCTGAGTCTATCTTTCCTGAGCTAAGGAGGTCTGAGCACACTGTTCTAAATAAGCATTAAACAAAACCCTGTCCACTTTCAAGAATTCTTCCCTATCTCTACAAGATCTACATTACCTCATCCTGTAATGGCCTCTGCCTTTTTCCCCAGCTGTACAGCACAGTGACTTACAAACATCTGAGGACTAAGACATCATCAATTTCCAGTGTATGAGTATATAGCACTAAGTCCTGTTATTGATCCATACGTGTCGCAACAGGCCTTTTAAACTAGTAGTCCCAAATCAGTTGGAAAAACTTCCAGATTTTTGAGGCCAACCAGTTCATCCTTCAATCATATTCTGATCCCTATCTGTATAGTTGAAATTCACAATGAAGATTAGACCTAAAACTGGACCCTGAAGAGGTCCACCACTGTCTGCCCTCTGGCTTGTTACTCCCTTTCCCAGAAACATCATCATTATCTCCCTCCTAGCCAGTTTCTGGCTTGCTTTATAACGTCTATTAATCTCTACCCTTTTCCACTTTAGCAGTGACTTTCAATGCAGTACTCTAACAAATGCTTGCTGAAGTCCAGATAGATGAGATTTACTTAGTTTTATTTGTCTAAAGGAAAAAAAAACACCTGTCTTTTAAAAGGAAAATATCAGTTTAGTCTGTTGTGTCTCCTCCGTCTCCTAATGTCATTTTTGATGCAGTTATTAATTTTATTATGCATGGAGCCATACACTCTATCCTTATCCCTACTCTCAGCCTCTGCATTAACAAAATCTCACATATCATCCACCTCTCAGTCACACCACTGGTTCCCTTCACCTCCCAAAGTTTGTACTTTTATAGGTCATTTTATGATTTATCTTCTATTTTTACTCCTGCCAACCCAGTGTGACTCAATCCACATTCACTTGACTGCAGACGAAGATTTAAAGGTAGTAGGTCATGCTGTAACTTGTATATGGGTAGGTTATACAAGAAAGGGCTGGCATTGGTGATGTTCTATATGAAACAATTGCCTGTGCCATCTGCTGGTACATTTCAACCAATAAAAATATAAGAAAAAAACATCCTCAGAAAGACTTCTGTCCCTCTTACCTTCAGTTTTTATGTCTTTCCCCTGTTTGAGAGAGGGAAGAGGTGTTTAATCTGAGAAGCTTTTTAATACAGTCTTCCCTGTCCCCAAAATGAGATTTACTGCAACTTTCACTCCATGGGACTGCACTTTGCATTCATCTAGAAACAAGTTTGTGCAACAAGTCACTATGAAGCTCTGTGTTAGGAGCCTTCTCAGTAAGGATCAATTTTGGTTGTCATTAAGCTCCCAAGTGGAGCACAAGACACAGGTGTTAACATATGAGGATCTGGGTAGCAGAAGAACAGCCTTCCTCACAGGGCTCTCACCACTGAAACCACAGAAATCCCAGAGCTGAACTGCTCTCACAAGTGTGAGGGAGCAGGAGGCAGGCTGCTCCTCAAAACTGAAGTGCAGTCTGATTTGGGGCAGAATACAAAAGCCTTTCAGTGACAACTAACAGCACAAGACATCCTTTTGGAAGAAGAAAATCAGCACACTAAGCCAACAGAAATTTTCCAATTACTTTAGCTGGAAGAAAGCAATGCTCTTCTGTTGAGTTGGACCCAGGGGTTCAGAGTCTTCAGAAAATGCTATAGAGTATGTAAGGAGTCCATAAGGAGTGGAACAGCATTTGGTCCTATGCTGATCCATCTTCAGCGGCACAATGACCCTTGGCAGACCCAGAATGTCTATTCAATTTTTTCCAGAGAAGATGCATACAATTCCCTAATCACCAGGAACAGGAGGAGAAATAAATTGTTATTGTCCTACCATGTAGGAGCAATCAGAAGCCTTCTACAAATCCTCTTGTATAGGTGGAGAGGGACCAGAGATGTCACTTTAATTACTGTAACGATCCAGTTATTAAGTCACTGAATGGCACAGTGAATGTTTACACTTTACAGTGAACAGAGGTTCCCTAGGTCAAATAAATGACAGCCCTATGCTATCAGTCTAACCAGGGGGACAGACATGTTGCAACAAATTAAATTCTGTTTAGATATTAGGGGAAAAAAAATATTCAGTGCAATAGTGAACAAACCAGAACAGTCTCCCAGACAGCCTGTGGAATGTCCATCTTCGGAGATATTGAAAACTCACCTATACAAGGCCCTGATCAACCTGTTCTAACTTCAAAGTGGATTTAACTTTGAAGTAGGCCCTGATTTGAGTAGGAAGTTGGACCAGATGATCTCCATAGGACCTTTCTAACCTGAACTGGCCTACATATCTAAAACAGCAACATCATCTTTCAAGTTAAAATGCTGAATATTGACTTGCTTTCTAGGAGGGAAGTGGGATTTTAAGATAGAAGGAAAAATAAGTCTAAAACTTCACAGAAGAGCATATGTATATACATATAAATATACATGCATATATGAATCTACACCTCACTCTACTCAAAAGTTTTGTGCCAGACCTGAATTAGGATTCTTGTCCTTTACAGTGCTTGACAGAAGATATACTTTTGAAGTCAGACAAAAGCATAGAGTCTATTAATTAGCACTTGAATTAAAATTCAGATAAACACGAACTAGACATATGCAGCCATTTGTAACTCTGTTCTTCTGGAAAGGATCACAAAGAAGAAGATCATCTAGGGAGGGACTCAATCCTCCTACTCATTTTGAGCAGCAGCTTCCACTGCAAATAGGTTCATTCAGATTCAGTAGGGCTATGTGGTGAATAGCTCTACTGTTTGCACAGCCCAGTGACAAGAGGACTCTCAGAACAGCTTAATGCAAGACCTAGTAATAGAGAGCAGTTGAAAATGAGTGTTTGGGGATTGAGTTTGGGTCTAACTACCAGAAAAGATGTTACCACCCAGCATTATCACAGGCTTAGATGTAATCAGACTGCAGCCAAAATAAGCTGCCTACAGAGAGCACAGTTGAAACTGATACTCTGTGCAGGCAGTGAAAATCCCTCAATGAAAAAACTCTGAGTAAGTAACAGAGATGTCAAAACTTGACCATTTCTACTCATAATCAAGTTGCAGAAGAGCCTCCAGCCTCCTACTGCAGTGACTTATGTTTTTGGGTCAGTCACAGATATTCCCAGTACATCCTTGATGGACAGTTTTTTTCTGTCAATATCACAGTCTGGAGGGGATAGAAAAGAGATGCAGCCTACCCATATATCTGACAGATTAAGTCCTTCATCTGGCTGGAAAGATATATCAGAACTCACAGAAAAGCCAAGATATCACCAGACTGGTTTTCCTCTTGATCTTTCACTGCCATTTCAGAAAAGATGGTTCTTCTTGGGCCTTTTAAACTTTTTTGTTTTTCTTCTTTCTTTCTTATATACACATATATAAGCATTTCTTCAGTGGCAATTACCATTGTGCTTGGACGTCCCACAACAATAATGGATCAAATAAATGGACATTAAACTTCACCGAACATGTAGTGATAAAAAAAAAAAAAATAGTCTCCAAGACTTATTATATTTCTCTATCTACTACACAAAAATCCACTGGATTTTGAATTTTCTGCTATATCAAAAGAAAGCTCATGCTTAATTTGCTGTTGACTGTCAACAGGTAACTCTTTTTCCAGCCCTGAAGTTTCTAATATACTTCACCACCACTGAATATGTGTTGGGTTAAGAGAATGCCAACTAGGAGAGAGGTAACGAATCACAACATCACACTAGAAACATATAGTTACACCATTTCAGTTCCCAGATGTAAAGCAGAATAGTGTGTCTCTTTACCTGGAATCTCATCAGTACCCCCCTTGATGTGTTTGAATCGATCTCCTTCCACGTGCACGTTAGGACACAGGACATCTGAAAAGTAAAAGAACCAGTACAAAATTATCACAAGTAGACACATTATTTTGAAAGCTATAGGACTAACAAAGCCTGATCTCCTGGACAAATTCCAACACTTGCACATGGTCCCACAGCAATAATTCTATTTCCAATCTCTTGCATGTCCTACATACACTTTCTCTATCCTATCCCCTAACCACATGCTGGACAACAGACTCAATACACCACGTGTGATTTTGAGCCACTTTTTGCTGACTGTCCAGTCAAGAAATCAAGTAGAACAGGTGACCCAAGCTTTTCCCTCCACTAGGCACTAGGACATCACTCTGGGTTTTTCTCTTTCACTGGTCTGTAAATCTGCATGAAAGTCACAAAAACTTAAGAAAATATAAAATATGATTCCACTCTCAGATTGTTTGGAAGGAAGTTCTGATGGCCCAGCTGACATTGGGGTGCTGCCCAAACTGTTCAGAAAGGGCAGCTCCTACTCAGAAAAACTTCAAGACTAAAGTGCTAAGACAGGAAAGGGAGTCTAAAGCACAGAATGATGAAGTGACTTTAGCCATACCAAGGTCCCATCACAGGCCAGTGTCAGAGACAAAAAGTGAAGCCCACTCTCCTGTATCTTACTGTGTTACATGTGATTCCCCCATTAACAGTCCTCCAGGACCATGACTATTTATGTGTCTGCTCCTTGAGTTTGTTCAAGCAGAAAGCAGAGTCATATATGACTAACATTTTGAAGAATACTCAACCCTACACACAGCTTTCAAAGAAGTAATGAAAATACCCAGCCTTTGTCAGCCATTTCTCATGCTCCCAGTTAGTCTGAACACAATCAGGGGTAAATGCTTTTCTACAGAGAACTGTCTACCCATCTACCTCCTTCCTGCCATATCTTTGAAGTAACACTTATTTATGCTTTGTTTTCCCAGATCAATAGGTAATTGCACGCTTGTAAACAATGGGGAGAGCTAGCTCAAGGAATCAGTTTAATGAGAATATAAAAATTAACCCATGACTTTTCACCGCTTGTACAGACGCACATTTATGTCCTTTCTCTGATTTAATGAACAAGCAGGTGAGGACAGCCAAGTCTCATTCCTTCATTTGCCCAGTTGCACACATGGTAATACACACATCCTCTGCAGTTGCAATGTTCATTTTGATGCATATGGTAGTTAGCATCATCTCCACATGCTGTTTAGTACATTATTCCTCCAGTATCCTTAATTGTTGTGCTTGTAATGGAGCTGCAAGGGCCAACTAAGGGATAAGGAGACAGGAGCTGAAGGTGACCCAAGCCCAGGCAATGCCCTTACAAATGGGGCACAATCTCACAGGATTCTCTGAAGACTTTCTACAGCAGGTCTACCCTGAACTGTTTGTGAAGCTACATCTAAAATCATGAGATAAAAATTGCTTTTCTGAGGACATTACCATCATGCCTTATAACTCTCTTTCTGCTTCCTGATTCTCAGTAAAAAATCTAATATTCCAAAATATTTTGTTAAAACTAGCAATGAAATCTGATATTTTCCTGCTTTATTGTGTTAATGAAGTTACAGTCCAGATTATCAGCTGCAGATGAGGCACTCTCAGCTCAGTGGAAAGAAAGGGGAATGTAAAATCCATCAACAGAAGCCCCAATAACCAACACAGCACTCAACAGCAGTCAAACACATTCATTCACCCCTTTGCTACAGCAGTGGGGGAGGCTAGAGACTGATTACTCATGAGAGTGTGTGTTATCCAGGACATTTCATATTTTCTTTGGACCATCTTTAGGGCTGCTGCTTCTATAGATAAAATCCAGAATAGCCACTTTTCTTGTTTTTTTTTCACCACACCACGAACCAATACAGATTGATGCACAAGGTCACTTTGTGTAAATTTTAGCCAGAGGTCTCTTTTTCATCCTGATGCCTGTTGGCTTGAAATCCAGGATACTTGCACTCAAACCCTGTTATGCCTTAACATTAGACATGTGAAATCAAGCAGTAGTTTCCCCTACATCAGAGGTCTGCACAGCTTCCCAACACAATAGGGAAGTTCTCCTCTTCTAGATGAACTTTAAAAGTTGAAAGATTTTTAAACCGTTAAGACTTGCAAAAGCCAGAGTTAGGACACCTCTTTTCCCACTCAAAAATAAGCTATACTGACAAAAGATTTGCTTACAAGTGTCAGAAGCCCTGTGCAGATGTTATACTGATCCTTTAAATCTTGGCTTTGTTAACAAATGCTCTTTTGGTTACAGGAACTGAGTCAGTGCATTAAACAGCACTTCTGAGCCCCAGTCTTAGAACTGGAAGATGTATGGCTATGCAGTAAAATAAGGAACATAAGAAATCAAAACAAGCAAAATTTCCCCAAATAAAGAGTAAACAAATGGAAGGTATGCATAAAATCACAAAAATGTCATTCATCTCAGCTGTCCAGGACTTCTGAGAGGTACACTGGGAAGAATAAAACAGCAGTATACCTCTTCATGCAACAGGGAGGTGATGTCTGAATTATAGATATATAAATTACCATTTCAATCTTTAAGAACATAACACACCCTCCACCAGGTCCAGTTAGAAAGAATCATGGCTTCCTAGCAGGGAAGTATGAGCTAGCAAAATTTTCCTGGTTTTAGTTCCTATTTTGGAACCAGGACTATAAAGCAAACTCATGCACTTGGCCTTGGTACAGAATTGTCTTGCCACAAAACATAGAAATGACAATGTTAATACTATTATTCTCTTCTTTCATCTCTGTCTTTTAAATCTCTTATTACCTCTTAAAGAACTGTGGCCTCACTTTGGCCTTCATTTTACAAATGTCCTGTGCTCCTTTTGGCTTCTCCCTTCCTGTCTGCATCTCAGGCACAAACATAAATAGTCCACAAGGGAAAGAAAATTATTGCAATGCTTACTTTCCAGCTACAGAATAATTCGCAGTGGCACAAAAGATGTTAGTGCTTTACCATCCAGGTTAGCAGCATGGCTACTTGTGTCCAAAGGAGCCACGTGCCAGACTCACAGAACATCAAATGGTCCTGACTAGCAATCACATTTCATTGCTACACCCGGAGGTACCTTGATAGGAAAGGCAAGACAAAAGCGTGGAGCTTTTCTATGAGATCCTTGATATAGGTGAACATTTTAACATCAAAGAGTGTTTATGTCTATTGTTTCTGCTACTGCCAGGATAATCTTTGAGCAAACACTCACGTTTCTTGGAGGATTTGCAGCAATGAACATCCACTGCAAATTGTAGAAGGAGTAATAAAATCTGCAATGCAGCTACATCTGTACTAATTTGTAAAATTTACAGATTTGCAAAAGAGAAGATACAACAGACTGACCTGAGCTTTCAGCCACTGGTCCTCGTTACATTCTCTCTAGCCATGTCATTCAAATCTATGAGCTTGCAATTGTTTTTAAATACATATTGTTTAAAACAACTTCCTTGTCCTCAACTTTACATATTATTCTGTCAATCCTTTGCTTTATCTACAAATTTTATCATCAGAGATTTTGCATTTATGTCCATGTGGTTCATGGAAAATTTTAATAGCACCAGAACTGTTATATATCCCTTTCACAGTTGCACTAGAAATGATGACTTTCACTGACACCTGCTACATGAGATCAGTCAGCTCTTAATCCATTGTAGAGTGTTACTTTTTAATGCAAATGTCATTCAATATGCAATAACAATGCCTAAGAACAAATGTATTATATCCAGGTAGTTACCATATCAACCAAACTGTAACTCTGCACAGAAATAAATTAGTTTTGTTAGAGATGACCTCTTTCTCATAAAATTATAACCCTTGAATAGGGATACATAATAATTCCCATTCTGTTATACTTTATTCACTGGCTTCAATGTCAATTATTATTTTTATGTGAGTGAGATCAGGCAAACTGTTCTATAGCTATACATATGAATAATTTTTTGTTTTTTAATAGCGATACTTTACCATCATTTCATAGTCCCTTAATTAGTGCTGTACGAGGAAGCTATATGTGTATAAGTTTGCAGACAACACCAAGCTGAGTGGTGCGGTTGACACATCTGAGGGAAGAGATGCCATCCAGAGGGACCTGGATAAGATCAAGACGAGAAGTGGGCCCATGTAAATCTCATGAGGTTCAACAAGGCCAAGCACAAGGTCCTGCACATGGGTCAGGGCAACCCCTGGTATCATCAGAGCCTGAGGGATGAAAGGATTGAGAGCAGCCCTGCAGAGAATGACTTGGGGGTGCTGATGGATGAAAAGCTGGACATGAGCCAGCAATGTGCACTCACAGACCAGAAAGCCAACTGTATCCTGGGCTGCACCCAAAGAATTGTGGCCAGCACGCCAAGGTTGATTATTTTCCCCCTCTACTCCACTCTCATGAGACCCCACCTGAAGTACTGCATCCAGCTCTGGAGACCTCAGTACAGGAAAGACATGGAACTGTTGGAGTGTGTACAGAGGACACCACAAAAATGATCAGAAGGATGAAACCTCTCCTATGGAGAAAGGTTGAGAGAGTGTTCAGCCTGGAGAAGACAAGGCTACAGGAAGACATTATTGCAGCCTTTCAGTACTTAAAGGGGGCTTATAAGAAAGATGGGGACAAACTCTTTTGCAGGGCCTGTTGCAATAGGACATGGGGCATTGGTTTTAAACTAAACTAAGGTAGATTTAGACTAGATATAAGGAAGATATTTTTTACAGTGAAGGTGGTGAAACTGTGGAACAAGTTACACAGAGAGGTGGTAGGTGCTCCATCCCTGAAAACCGTCAAGGTTAGTTTGGATGGGGCTCTGAGAAACCTGGTCTAGCTGAAGATGTCCCTGTTGATTGCAGGGGAGTCAGACTAGATGACCTTTAAAGGTCCCTCCCAACCCAAACTACTCTATGATTCCCACATATCTTAGCTCTCTTTTAGTATTGTTACACTCTAGTAGTCCAAACTTGATGAAGGTGACTGTATGTTTTGTTAGAATGGTTGGTGAATTTCTCCTAGTCACTT